ATCAAACACCTCACAGAATAGCATGGGTTGCTGAGGCATTTGCTGTCTCCATGTAAGGGATCCTCTTGCTCGTTGACACTGCTCACAAGTGCTAAAAATCTTCCATGCATCACTGAAGATAGTGGGCCAGTAGAAACCACAATCAAGCGCCTTGTGAGCTGTCCTCTGAATGCCTAGATGGCCACCTGGTGCAGAAGAGTGACAAAACTGCAGGACCGAATCGATCTCATGATCTGGTATGCATCTCCTAATCACTTGGTCACTGCACAACTTTCACAAATAGGGGTCATCCCAAATATAAAGCATCAGTCTTAATTTTATCAATTTGAGCTCGTGATGCTAAAGGAGGAAAAACAGAAGCAACTAAAAAATTAACAATGTTTGCAAACCAAGGGGTGGTAGAAGAGGCAGAAGAAACAATCAACAAATTTTCATCAGGAAAATTATCCTGGATGGGCAAGATGTCAGCACTATCCTCAGCTCTTTCAATTCTGTTGAGATGGTCTACCACTAAATTCTAAGCTCCACTCATGTCTCGGATATCCAAATCAAACTCCTGGAGCCAGAGCATCCACCTAATCAGTCTAGGCTTTAACTCAGCCTTTTTTAGTAGGTACTTTAGAGCTGCATGGTCAGTATAGACAATAACACGAGAACCAAGCAAATAAGATCTAAATTTATCAAGAGCAAAAATAATGGCAAGAAGCTATTTCTCTGTGGTAGTGTAGTTTGCTTGGGCAGCGTCCAAAGTTCTGGAAGCATAATATATCACTCGAGGCAACTTGTCAACTCTTTGTGCCAGGACAGCTCCCAATGCATAATTGGATACATCACACATCAGCTTGAATGGGACTGTCCAATTAGGTGCCTAAATGATTGGAGTGGTGGTGAGTGCTTCCTTGAGGTAGTCAAAAGCCTGTTTACACCTGTCATCAAAAACAAATTCCATATCCTTCTGAAGCAAGCTGGATAGTGAAAGGGCTTTCTTGCTGAAGTCCTTAATGAAGCGCCTGTAGAAACCTGCATGGCCAAGAAAAGATCGCACCTATCGCACGCAAGAGGGGTAAGGCAATTGTACAATTACAGATATCTTTACAGGGTCAACCTGAATGCTCCGACTAGAAATGATATGCCCTAAAACTATACCCTGCTCTACCATGAAATGAAATTTCTCAAAATTAAGAACAAGGTTAGTCTCAATGCATCTATTCAGAACTCTATCCAAACTATCCAAACATGCATCAAAAGAGGAACCATAAACAGTAAAATCATCCATAAACACCTCTATGCAATTTTCAAGAAAATCACTAAAAATACTGAGCATGCACCGCTGGAATGTGCCAGGGGCATTGCATAGGCCAAAAGGCATCCTTCTATAGGAAAAAGTACCAAAAGGGCAGGTGAATGTGGTCTTTTCCTAATCCTCAGGAGCAATATGAATCTAAAAATAACCAGAGAACCCATCAAGAAAATAGTAATGCGATTTACCTGCCAGACGCTCAAGCATCTGATCAATGAAGGGCAGAGGAAAATGATCATTCCTTGTTGCTTGGTTGAGCCTCCGGTAGTCAATACAGACCCTTCAACTATTTTGGACTCTGGTGGGTATGAGCTCATCCCTCTCATTTTTCACAACAGTGAGGCCTGTCTTCTTGGGGACCACCTGGAATGGACTCACCCACTAACTATCTGATATTGGATAAATGATCTCAACTTGAAGAAGCTTGGTCACCTCTTTCTTCACTACATCCAAAATGACAGGATTGAGTCGCCTCTGGGCCCTTCAACTATTTTGGACTCTAGTGGGCATGAGCTCATCCCTCTCATTTTTCACAACAGTGAGGCCTGTCTTCTTGGGGACCACCTGGACTGGACTCACCCACTGACTATCTGATATTGGATTAATGATCCCAGCTTTAAGAAGCTTGGTCACCTCCTTCTTCACTACATCCAAAATGACAGGATTGAGTCGCCTCTAGGGCTGTCTGACTGGTTTAGCTCCATCCTCTAAGAGTATCCTATGCATGCAAGTGGATGGGCTGATACCAGGAATGTTTGTTAGGGTCCAACCGATGGCTTTCTTATGCTTTTTTAGAACGTGCAACAATTTCTCCTCTTGAACAGCATCAAGGGAGGTGGAAATGATCACTGACAACTTCTCATCATCCTCCAAGTAAGCATACTTGAGGTTGTCAGGTAGAGGCTTTAATTCTGGAATGGGTGTTGGCTGAACAGTAGAAGGAACTAAGGGTTCCATAGCATGTACCTCAACCTGCAAGTCAGATTCATGTGTACTTCCTGAAACATGGTTAGTGCATTATGACTCTAAAGAAATAGTATCCAGAGGTACAGCACCCAAAACATCAGATACAAAATCAGATTTGTTTTTGGAACAGGAATCAAAATCGGATACAGAAATAGATTCAAAATCAAACTCAAAAACAAATTCAGAAACATAATCAGATTCAGTGCATGCAAGAGAATTATATAGATTAGATAGAAAACAATGTTTCTTATCATGTAAAGAATAAAAATCAGAAGCATACTCATCAACAACATCATCAAGTATCTTAGTACCAAAAATAGAATGGTCTTCAGATGGATGTCTCATAGCATCAAGAATATTAAAATGGACAATAATATCACCAAATTCCATGGACAATGTACCAGCATAAACATCAATCTTAGTTCGGGCTATTTTCAAAAATGGTCTGCCAAAAATGATTAGGACAGATCCATGGGAGAATCCCTCCTCCATATCAAGCACATAAAAATTAGCAGGGAAAATTAGTTCACCGACCCAAACTAAGACATCCTCAATGAAACCTGTAGGGTGGGCAACACTTCTATTTGCCAACTGTATCACCACACCCGTAGGTTGCATAGGACCAAGAGACAGAGATTTAAAAATGGACAGAGGCATGACATTTATAGAAGCACCCAAATCAAACATGGCATTTTCAAATTTACTATTACCAATAATGCAAGGTATACATAATGTACCTGGGTCGTTACATTTTTCAGGAATGTGCAGAACAAATTTACCTATGAGTGCTGAGACATTTCTGCCCATGCTGATTCGCTTATTGCCCTTCATTTTCCTCTTATGAGTGCACAAATCCTTCAGAAACTTAGCATATCTGGGAATTTGCTTGATGGCATCTAGTAGAGGTATGTTCACCTCCACCTTCCTGAAGGTCTCCAATATGTCCTTATCCATCTCTTCCATCTTTTTGCTTGGAATTAATTTTGGTGGAAATGGAAGAGGGATAGCAGGCTGCTACAAATCAGAATTGGTGCTGGAAGAAGGTCAACCTGCATAAAAATTTCAGGCACCAACTAGTTCATCTTTTTGTTCAGATGCAGATGCTGGAACTGGTACTAGTATTGACACAGGTGCAGATGGAGGTGGAGGTACTGCAATGGGTATTTCAATCTGTTTCCCTGACCTCAATGTGATGGCACTCACATTTTTTGGATTCTGCACAGTCTGTGAAGGCAACTTATCTGAATTTTGAGACTGTGCCTGATTGAGTTGAGTAGCCATCTGCCCCATCTGATTGGTCAAGCTCTGGATGGAAGCTCTGGTCTCTTGCTGGAATTGAATATTTTGAAGAGTCATCTGCCTCACTAACTCCTCCAATGAAGGTTCAGAAGTAGAAGGTTGAGGAGCTAGTGGTGCAGGTGCAAGAGAAGGAGGTCTCTGTTGAGGGGGCTGGTATGAAGAACTTGAGGGATGGTTCTGGAAAGGTGGTTGATTTTGTTGTTGCTGCTGCGCTGGTCTGTTATTGTAGATATTTGCAGCATAAGCTTGAGGAGCATGAACATCAGAAGGCTGCTGCAATGGTGGACACGAATCTGTATGATGGTCATTTGACGTGCAAATGTTGCAAACCCATGCTACAGATGCATATTTTTGATTTGCAGCAAGTTGAGTCACCAGGTTGACCAATGCATCAAGTTTAGTCTCCAGTTTTTTATCTGCATCAGTGGCCACATCATGAACTCCTCTGACGACAATTGCATTGTCGTTTCTGGTACTAAATTGTTGAGAGTTGGAGGCCATTTTTTCTATCAAGTGCCTGGCTTCAGCTAGGGTCATGTCACCAAGTGCTCCACCACTTGTAGCATCTATCATACTCCTCTCCATGTTATTCAGCCCCTCATAGAAATATTGCAGCAACAACTGCTCAGAAATCTGGTGGTGAGGACAACTTGCACACAACTTCTTAAATCTCTCCCAGTACTCATATAAGCTCTCTCCACCAAGTTGCCTGATTCCTGATATATCTTTTCTGATGGTAGTGGTCCTGGAGGCAGGGAAGAATTTCTCTAGAAACATTCTTTTCAGATCATCCCAGCTAGTGATGGACCTGGGAGCCAAATAATACAACCAATCTTTAACAACTCCCTCCAATGAATGTGGAAATTCCTTCAGGTAAATGTGATCCTCTTGAACATCAGGAGACTTCATGGTAGAACAATCAATATGGAACTCCTTCAGATGTTTATGTGGATCCTCACCTGCATGACCATGAAACTTGGGAAACAAATGGATTAGTCCATTTTTAAGCACAAAAGGAATATCTTCTTCAGGATATTGAATGCACAAACTCTCATAAGTAAAATCAGGTGCAACCATCTCCCTAAGAGTCCTCTCACGAGGTCCATTATAAGGTTGTTCACCCATGTTTTCTGTTTGAATTGAATCAAGCTCAGATGCAACACCTACACTATGACTATGAATATGACTATGACTATCAGTATCACTATCTAAAGATGGAATAAAATGCTCTCTAATTAGTCTATGGAATGTCCTATCAATCTTAGGATCAAATGGGTGCAAAAAATCAGGGTTGCTCCTAGTCATGCACTACATGCAACACATGCATAAGGACACGTGAAAAAAGAAGCCTCCTAAAATCAGAAAAAACCAAATCTAATGCACCAATATCATCCTAAAATCATTAGAAACTACCACAAAAAATTTGAGAACAAAATTCAAACCCTAGCTATATGAACTACCTAAGAAAAAATTGGAAAAATAGTGAAATAAAACTTCAAAAATAGGAAAAAAATAGTAAACGACCTTTTTTTGAAAATCTAGCTGGGGCCACAAGGCGTAGAATGTGGGTTTGATAGATCTTTTTTTTTTTCTACAAAAAATGAAAAAAAAGTTTGCCTAATTCCGATAACCAGAGCCAAAGTTATGGCCTTTTGAAGTTTTGCTTAAAACAATTTTCAAAAATTTTGGTATTTCCAAATCTTGACCAAACTATGTGCCCTAGCTATTTTTTACACAGAATATAAGTTGAAAGAAGTTTCCACACAAAATTTGAGGCAAAAATAACAAGTCTAGCTATCAAAACCAAAAATCACAATTAATTGGAAAATTCTGGCACTATTCAGCACTATTCACGCGCACCAAAAATGCACCAGATTTTGCACCACATTTGGAACACTTCCACACCATTTTCCCACATTTTTGGCACCCGAACAGAGGAGTAGTAGACAGCCAAAACAGAGTATGCCTTCACCAAAACAGAGCATGCACCAAACACGCACCAAAACAAAGCAGAAAATGCACCAGAAAACGCACCAAAACGCACCTAAACGCACCATAAATTTTGATGTCTACACTTATGGACGAATTGAAACTCAACACAACAATGATTTAGCACACCAAATGGAATCAATATAATTGGACAATGAGCTATGAAATGCAATAGAGATCAATTATGACAAACATATGACAACAAATGCACCAAAAAAATCAAACTCGAGTTACTGTTCCATTGGTTTACTGTTGCATTAGACTCAATAGCATGAATTCTTCAACTGAAAAACTTTCTACACCTTGGGGGGCAAATAACAAACATAAATACACAACATAACATGTAGTGGGATACAAAAACACAAACACACAACTGATACACCAACTGGTTTATAAAATTGATACACAAAACTGAAACTGATACACACAACTCATACACTAAGACACTACACCAAAAACACACATAACATAACAAAGACTCTAAAAAAATACACTACTAACAAAAACATAAAACACATAATAGAACATGTTAAACAAAAAAAACAAAGAACACACACCCTTTAACAGGAACCGATGGTCCCTGGCAACAGCACCAAATTTGATCGAAGCCGTATCCGATCAAATAATACAATTAAAATGCAGTACTAGGAAGTTGTCCTAGGTCGTCTCCCAAGGACCATTTTTCTATGTCAAAGGCTTAAACACGAAGGGGAGAAGGGTTTGGTTGTTCAGATTTTTTAGTTTATAACACAATAAAACGTAGATACACAGCAAGTAAAATAGATTGGCTCCTTGTTCGGATTGTATCTCTCTTATCCTTGGTTCACATGGAGATTACTCTATTAACCACTTAATCCTTGTTCCATCCGAGTTAACCAACTAAGCGAAGATTAACTCTCCTACACGAATTAAGCAAACATATACAACATCAACCTCTTCACAGATTAAGAAACTGTGGCATTGAGCACAACCCATTAAGCATGGACACATTGATACAGAGGTTAAATGAAGAAGAACAAAGTAGAACAGAGATATACAAACATACCCAACCTCAAACAGAGATTACAATCCATAAAAAGAAGCCAACCCAAGGGATTGCAGCCTTCCATTAAAATAGAACAGAAATAGAAACGAAAATGCAAGGAAAGGAGAGGAGAGCTGAACGAAAATGGATAATATGTATTCTTCAATGCAAGGGTTCAGATACAGAACGAAAATGCATACAAAAGGAGAGGAGAATAAAACGTAAATTGCAGCTACAAGAGAGAAAAACATAAAGAAAACAAAGAGAAGGGAGGTAGTAACGTGGTCACATCAGGTCTGAAGGTTGGTGGCTGCCCTAAGACCCTAAAGAAAACCTAGAAGAGTCAAAATGGGCCCCCAAGTCAGGTTTGACCCGAAAATACAATAAAAATAGAATACAAAATGAAATTAAATGCTAAGGTGGAAAATGGTGCAGTAGTGACATGGCAGATGACGTGGCAGCTCCTCTTGAAGTAAAAAAAAAAAAAATTCCAAGCCCAAATAATTATTAAACTGCACTGAAAATAAAAATTGGAATAATTAGATTCAGAAAATTCAAATTAGTTAAAATATGAATTACCGGTCCAATTAAAGCCCAAATAGAAAACAGTGCAGAATATAAACAATTAAGCACAAATAAGAGATTAAAATAAGTACAGAAAGGTAAGAAAATAAGGGAAAATAATGACTCATCACCAGTTCTTATAATCGATTACTAGAAGATGAAACTTCAAAATTTGAATTTAAATTATACAACGTTTCAAACATTTTGAACTTAAACTGTTGTAATCGATTACCAAGTCTTGTAATCAATTACGAGAGCCTATTTTTTGAAAAATTATAGAAAGTTACAACTCTTCATGAAAATACATAACCTAAAAAATAATTGTCTATAAATACCTATAATTTTTCAGAGAAAGGTTATGAACTCTATTGTGAAAATCATTTACAAAAACTACTTGGCCAAAGTCATTTGCAAAATCTCTCAAGAGTTCTTTAAGATCATCAAAGTGTAATATCTACTCTTCCAAGAGAGTCATTCTGTAAAACTCAATTGATCACTGGATCTATAAAGGAGAAAGGGTTTTTCTCCTTGTTGGTTGTTGAATCTCAACACATGGAAAGGGAGTTCCGAGGTGTTGGAGGATTCAAGTCTTGTAAGGTTTACAAGAGTAGTGGAAATCTCAAGTGGGAGACTTGAGGACTGGATGTAGGCAGGATTGGCCGAACCAGTATAAAATCAAGTTTGCAACTCTTCTCCCTACACTTTTATTTATTTGTTATTTAATTGTGTTTGAGTTGTTCTACATCATCATTATTTACATACAAATTTGTCTAAGAATATAAATTGATAAGAAAGTAATTGCAAAAGTTTTTACAAGAGGAAAAATTTAGAAAACTTAATTCACCCCCCTCTTAAGTTATACGAGGCTAAGTGACTAACATGAACCAGTATAAAAATGATTGTACTATTTTATTTATATTTCAGACGTAAATTCTTCTTAATTGACAAATCGTGTTGAAAAACTTCATCTATTGTCTATTCTTCATACAAACTACTTTTTAGACAAAGATGCAAATTTTGTTTAACAAATACATTACACTGAAAAACTTTATCTACAACTTATTCTTAAATGAAACTATCTTGAAAAGGAAAATGCAAAAACTTTAATCATTATTTTCATGTGAAACATTTTCCTTAAGCAGACGATAAACCTTTCCGGTGTAGTGCCCTTATGTTAAGCAAATTCTACATAACTGTCTGATATTTAAAAGTGCATTGGATGAAGAACATTACTCTTGCAAAAATGTTTATAAAATTCCTTTGTACTAAAACACATGTTCAACCCCCCCTTCTATGTGTTTGTCATCTAACCTCAAGAATAGATTAGGTTTTTTTTCTTTCAATTTTTTACTTATTTATCTATTTTTTATTGAAAGTGAACATATACCCTTTTGTGCACACTTGTGCCATATGTATGCTATGCAATGATGCCTTTATGCTAATGTTTAAATGCAAATTGATTTTACTTTCAGGAAATTAATTTATGCACATTAATTATTGGTGTGGGTTGATAGCCTTTAGCCATGTCGAATTTTAAGTTAGCGATAAAACACATAGAAGGGGGGTTGAATATGTGTGTATTAGTACGAAGGAATTTTAGAAACGTTTTCACAAGAGTAATGCTCTTCGTCTAAAGAACTTTTGAATGTTAGACGGTTACACAGAATTTGGTTAACATAATGTCATTGCATTTGAAGAATTCATCATCTACTGAGAAAAATGTTTTATAATTATAATTATTGAAATTCTAACATTTTCCTTTTCAAGATAGTTTCATTTGAAGACATGCAGAGGATAAGGATTTTCAGTCTAATATGTTTGTTAAACTAAATTTGCGTCTTCGTCTGAAAAATGGTTTTAATGAAGAATAGACAGTAGACGAGGATTAATTGTGATTTGACAATTGAAAATAATCTGCGTCTGAAATATAGATAGAGTAGTGTAATCACTTTTTATACTAGTTTGCTCAACTGAGCTACGTCCAATCTCCTTCAACCTGAAGGGTTCCACTAGATATGAAATTCAATACAGAAGTATTATCGACCACTTCTGGCCCGTTGACTTCACTCATCAACGCTAGTATATTTTTTTCACCCTCTTCAGGCTAGTAGTGAGTATTATGAACCACCCAGTTTAGAACCACTCCTAGTCCAAGTATTCTCGACCACTCCCGGCCCGCCAGCTTCACTCACCAGCGCTAGTATTCTTAAACCACTTCTGGTTCTCCAAGTATTCTTGACCACTCCTGACCCGTCGGCTTCACTCACCAACGCTCGTATTCTTAATCCACTTCTGGTTCTCTAAGTATTCTCGACCACTCCTGGCCCGTCGGCTTCACTCACCAACACTAGTATTCTTAAACCACTTCTGGTTCTCCAAGTATTCTCGACCACTCTTGGCCCGTCGGCTTCACTCACCAATGCTAGTATTTTCTTATCAGTCACTTCTGGCTAGTAGTGAGTATTCTTTGACAAGCCCCTCCGGGCTTTACAAGTATTCTTTTCCTAGCCTCTTCAGGCTTTACAAGTGATAGATGTATAGTCGGGTTCGAGTGTATTGGGTTACTCTTACAGAGAGGATTGAAAAATTTCCTACACTCACTAAGGTTTTTCTTTCTAAGATGTACACATTTAGAATTCCTTAGTTTACTGAGATGAATACATTAATGTATTTTTGACTCTATGCACACTGTCTCTGGTTTCATTGAATCATAGGCTAGATATTACTCTTCGTTATGCTTGCAACATTTCGGGCCAAACAGCCAACCTCACAAGGTTTGATGTTGAGGCTTATATATTGTGAAATATGCCCGTTGCAATTGTCCGTTGAAGCAAATATAGCCGTTCACAACCAGTTTGATCTTCTCATTTAATGCTCAAATTAGTGCATTAAATGTTGCTTCTTGTTTATAGACAATGCGTGAAGTTTTCCTACTCAATTGGTAGCTATATCTGAATGTAGCAGAATCCTAGGAGACTTCTATCCTTTTCTGATCCTATAGCTATGGAGCTTTTGTCCTTGTCTGAAAAAGTGATGTACTTTTTCTGACATACGCATGATTTATCATTTGAGTATGCTCTTCTTCTCTTTTCTTCTCTTCTCATAATTTGAATGACTCCGTGTGTTCTTCTGTGAGTGTAGACGATATTCAAACTGTCTTTTGAAACTTGATTTCTCATATGATTGCATGTCATTTTTCTTCTGTGTCTGGTATCAGCTTTTAGATCAGTACGTTGACCTTGATCTAATCATTTGTTATTAACGCATTAACTTTTCCTTTCTTCTGGTCGACTTTGTATGTGGTTAGACTTTCCAGTTCTTCTGGAGTTTCTTCTTGGTCATTTGACCGTCTTTTTTCTGATTCCCTATGTGCAGCTTTCGATTGTGCTTGGCATGGTCTTGTTCTTGATTTGGCTTGTTGAGTGCTTATGTTGGCATTCCATTTTTTATTGTTTGATGCTTATATCTCTTCATCATTTTACTTGTTCTTACATCTTTCTGAAACACTAACTCACTTGTTAGAGATAATAACATATATTATATTATTCTCACTCAAAACCTTTTCTTTTTGGAATTTCTTCATCTGACTTAACAAAATTCATTCTAGATGTTGCTTCTTGAACATGAGGTTTATGAAGTTTGGGCCTCTTGCCTGTATTGGATATGATATGTTAGCCCTTAGATCAGGTGTACCTAGACTTTGTTCTAGGACACCTCTAACTTCTTCCTATGAGTGGTCATTGTGCATAATCTGTGTATCTCTCAACATTTCCTTAATTCCATATAGGTCAAAAGGTAAGAAAGGAAGAGGATCATATATATTTTTTGCAAAATTTTTGTTAGAAGGGATTTTTTTAGAAATGGTTTTTAGAAGAATGGCTGGCCGAGGTAGGCTAGTGTTTATTTTAATAAAAAACGTGGATCCGTTGTAGGGGAATTATTGTTGTACCTAGCCTATTCTTTTTTAGAAATCGAGTGATAACTTGGGGTTGTGCTTTGATTGAATGATCCCCCCTGAGCCGCCTTTCGGTTTTCAACTCAAGTTGCTACTTTAACGTCCTAACTTTTGCCTAGGTCACTTGAGATGTGTTCCCTAGCGGAAATTTTTCTTTTGATCCTTACTTTTTCCTAGGTTACCCTTTTTCCTTGTGGGTCCCCTAGTGGACCTTGCCCTAGTTTTTGTGCAACTCCCTTTAGTGGGTTTCCTGCTAGGCTTATGTTTTTGCAGTGTTCGTTTGAGATATGGGATTCTTTCTTTGTTTTATTAACCCCGATTATGCTTTCAAAATTTTATTGTAAGGCTTTCATCCAAATGTTGTCCCTATTCTAGACATGCTTTGTTTATTGCAGGTTATTTAATGATGTTTAGAGTAAAGAGAAAGAAAAGAAATGAGATGAATAAAAAGTATGGCAAGAAAATAATATTTTGATTTACATGTGCCCTTTTAATGTAGCTCGTAGTCATGCCTCGAGTTCGTGATTCATACACAGAGAAGAAATAGAGGGAAGGTGCCCTTTAGAGAGGCCTAGGTGGTCCAACTACTAGAGCTAGTCCTCCACTTGCTTGGATGTCGATGCTTTAGAAGATCTCGTGTAGAGGGAGGTCCTTTGACTTCTTCTCTCATGAAGGTGTTGTTGACCCATGTCTTGAGCCTTTCCTAAGAAGTAGCTACAAGTAGAAGCGATAATAGAGCCTAGAGTAGCACTTTCATGGAGTCTTGCTTCTCAAGGGGAACATTTAGGCTGCCTTTCCATTTGCAACTCGAACAAACACTACTTTTTCTTTAGCCCTTTTTTTTTTGCCTAAGACCCCGGCCTTAGCGAGTTTTTTTTACCCTAATTTTTTATAGAAAAGAATGGCTCAATACTAGAGGGGGGTGAATTGGATTCAATGACACTTAAATTTTTTTCAGAATTTAAGGATCTTTATTTCACTTAAAAACTTTTCTAATATGAATTCTCAATGAAGTTAATTGAACTTTTAACAAATGGGAATGACTCCTATGTGAATTCTTGATTAATCTTTATTGAATTTAGTCTAAGAAACAACTAATATGCAATTGTAATGTTTCAATTTAAACCATTATTAATCATACAAGCATATCAATCAAGACCGACCATTTTAGCATTCATTTAAAGATGATTCAAGGTAAGAGATAGAGATGAGAGAAGAATGAAAAGTGTTTTATCCTGGTTCAGCCACTCCACATGTGACCTACATGGAGTCCTCAATTATAACCTGATCAAGATTTGTTCCACTATTTAATGAAGAAGTTTTACAAGCATGCCACACATGCATACACTCCTACATTCAAGATAGACACTCTCTTGCCCGCAAGAAAGCACTTCTTGTAGAAACCCACTACAAGAATTCCTTACCACTTGAGACACCTACTCAAGATTTCTTTACACTTTACACAAAGAATTTAAAGGAACGAATTCACCTGGAAGCTGAGCAAATCATATTGTGAATTCTAGACTCATCTTAATGCTTCTCTTCCAAGAATGTAGCGATGATGATGATTTCTCTCAAAGCATTTCACAAGATATTTCTCTTCTTGGTTTCACAAAGAAAACACCCCAAGAAGGTCACAAAGACTTCACAAAATCAGTTTTTCTCTCTTTTGTTTTCAGTTCATCCCACTTGTAAAGTTTCAAAGTGTGAAAACTATTTATAAAGTTTTCCAGACCCAGATAATCAATTATTTCTTAGGATAATCGATTATTTTGTTCTTCATGATTTGGAAACTACTCAAGAACAAAATAATCAATTATTTTGCAGGATAATCAATTATTTTATAGGGTGCTTCCTGGAATAATTGATTATTTCTCAGATAATTGATTATTACAACAAGGTTCCCTGATCCTCTTGCTGGAATAATAGATTATTCATAATGATAATCGATTATTTTGAGTAAGTTTCAAAAACTCAATTTCACACTTTTAGAAAACTTTATAAATCTTTCCAAGTCATTTAGATCATCATCATACTCACTCTTAGTTAATTGAGATTAAGATTTATTCTAGCACAAAGCATACACAAGCAAAAATAACTCCAACAAGGCAACACAAAACATAAGAACATATAAATTATCCCTATTACATTTTGTATTCTTTCATATCTTCCTTTCTTGACTAGCTTGCCCTTTGTTCTTGGCTTGTATCCTTTGTTATCATCAAAACTTCTCAGATCTTCAGAGCTGAGCTTGATTCATCACCCATGAATCTTAAGAGGAGGAATCACCCCAATCTCAGATGGTCTAACCAGCAACAACAACAACCACCCCCTCTCTTCCAGAACAATGTTGGTCCCAGTAGATATGTGCCTCCCCCTATCCAACAAAGCAACAAAGAAAGCATGATGTTCCTGGATCTCCACCAGCTCAACCTTCTACTTCTACGCCTTATTGGAGGAGTTGGTGAGGCAGATGACCATTCAGAGCATGCAATTTCAACAAGAGACCAGAGCCTCCATTCAGAGTTTGACAAATCAGATGGGTTAGATGGCCACTCAACTCAATCAGGCATAATCCCAATATTCAGACAAGTTTCCTTCACAAATTGTGCAGAATCTGAAGAATGTGAGTGTCATCACCTTGAGGTCTAGCAAACAAATTGACATACAGTACCTATAGCTGCACCTGCACCTAAGCCTACACTTGAGAAAGAAGCCCCTGCAAGTAGTAGAAAAAAATATAATTCAGGTGAACCTTCTTCGAGTTCACACAGTGACGACTTGCAGCCTCCTATCCCTCTTTCATTTCCACCAAAATTAATTCCAAGCAAAAAGATGGAAGAGGTGGATAAGGAGATATTGGAGACCTTCAGGAAGGTGGAGGTGAACATACCTCTACTAGATGCCATCAAGCGAATTCCTAGATATGCTAAGTTCCTAAAGGAGTTGTGCACCCACAAGAGGAAGCTGAAGGGCAATGAGCGAATCAGCATGGGCAGAAATGTCTCAGCACTCATAGGTAAATCTGTTGCACACATTCCTGAAAAATGTAAGGACCCAGGTACATTCTGTATACCTTGCATTATTGGTAACAATAAATTTGAAAATGTCATGCTTGATTTGGGGGCTTCAATTAATGTCATGCCTCTATCTATTTTTAAATTTCTATCTCTTGGACCTCTGCAACTTACGAGTGTGGTCATTCAGTTGGCCAATAAGAGTGTTTTCCACCCCACAGGTTTTGTAGAGGATGTCTTGGTTCGGGTTGGTGAACTTATTTTTCCCGCTGATTTTTATGTTCTTGATATGGAGGAGGGATCCTCCCATGGTTTTGCCCCCAATCATTTTGGGTAGAACATTTTTGAAAATAGCCTGGACCAAGATTGATGTTTATGCTGGCACCTTGTCTATGAAATTTGGTGATATTGTTGTTCATTTCAATATTCTGGATGCCATGAAATTTCCTTCTGAAGATCATTCTATTTTTTGTGCTGAATTGATTGATGATTTAGTTGATGAGCACATTCATGATTTTGATTCTTTTCATGTTAAGAAACATCCATTTTTATCTGAATTGTATAACTGTCTTTCATGCATTGAATCTGAATATGAATTTGGAAGTGATCTTAATTGTGATGATGGATTTGAATTTGATACTTTGGGTGTTGTACCTCTTGGTCTTGATTTTATAGAGTTAGAATGCACTAACCATGTTGTAGGAAGTACAAAAGAATCTGACTTGTAGGTTGAGGTACAGGCTGCGGAACCCCTTCCTCTCCCTTCTTTGGTTCCTTCTGATGTTCAGCCAGCATCCACACCAGAGTTGAAGCCTCTTCTAGAGAATCTCAAGTATGCTTACTTGGAGGATGATGAGATATTTCCTGTGATCATTTCCACCTCCCTTGATGTTGATCAAGAGGAGAGGTTGTTGCATGTGCTCAGGAAGCACAAGAAGGAAATTGGTTGGACCCTGGCATACATTCTCGGTATTAGCCCATCCACATGCATGCACAGGATATTATTGCAGGATTGAGCTAAACCAGTGAGACAGCCATAGAGGAGACTTAACTCGGTGATTCTAGATGTGGTAAAGAAAGAAGTGACCAAGCTTCTACAGGCTGGGATCATCTATCCCATTTCTGATAGTCAGTGGTGAGTCTAGTCCAAGTGGTCTCCAAGAAGACAGGCCTCACTATTGTTAAAAATAAGAGGGATGAGGTCATACCCACCAGAGTGCAAAATAGTTGGAGAGTCTGTATTGACTACCGGAGGCTCAACTAAGCAACAAGGAAGGATCATTTTCCTCTGCCCTTCATTGATCAGATGCTTGAGCGTCTGGCAGGTAAATCTCATTAATGTTTTCTTGATGGTTTCTCCGGTTATTGTCAAATTCATATTGCTCCGGAGGATCAGGAAAAGACCACATTCACTTGCCCCTTTGGAACTTTTGCCTATAGGAGGATGCCCTTTGGCCTATGCAATTCCCCCAGCACATTCCAGCAGTGCATGCTTAGTAATTTTAGTGATTTTCTTGAAAATTGCATAGAGGTGTTTATGACTGATTTTAATATTTATGGATCCTCTTTTGAAACATGGTTGGATAGTTTGGATAGAGTTCTAAATAGATGCATTGTGACTAACCTTGTTCTTAAGTTTGAGAAATGTCATTTCATGGTAGAGCAGGGTATAGTTTTAGGGCATATTATTTCTAGTAGGGGCATTGAGGCAGACCCTGCAAAGATATTTGTTATTGAAAAATTGCCTTACCCCTCTTGCGTGTGAGAGGTGCGATCTTTTCTTGGCCATGCAGGTTTCTATAGGCGCTTCATTAAGGACTTCAGCATGAAAGCCCTTCAACTATCCAACTTGCTGCAGAAGGATATTGAGTTTAATTTTGATGACAGGTGCAAGGAGGCATTTGACTGCCTCAAGAGAGCCTTAACCACCACTCCTATCATTCAGGCACCAGACTGGAAGGTTCCCTTTGAGTTGATGTGCGATGCTTCAAATTATGCACTAGGGGATCTCTTAGCACAGAGGGTTGATAAATTACCTAGGGTGATATACTACACTTCCAAGACGTGCTGCTCAAGAAAATTACACGACCACGGAAAAAGAACTTTTAGCTATTTTTTTGCACTTAATAAATTTCGGTCATATTTTCTTGGTTCTCGTGTTGTTGGTTTTACAGATCATGCAGCTCTAAAGTACCTGTTTAAGAAGGCCGATTCAAAGCCTAGGCTGATCAAATGGATGCTCTGGCTTCAAGAGTCTGACTTGGACATCTGTGATAGGAGTGAAGCACATAACTTGGTGGCAGACCATCTCAGTAGGATTGAGAGAGCTGAGGATGAAAAGACCTTGCCCATTCATGATGATTTTCCTGATGAACATTTGTTAACTATTTTTGTTCTTTCCCCCACCCCTTGGTTTGCAAACATTGTGAATTATTTAGTTGCTTCTATTTTTCCTCCTTTGGCATCTAGAGCTCAAATTGATAAACTTAAGAGTGATGCTAAACATTATGTTTGGGATGACCCATATAGTGGAAGTTGTGCAGTGATAAGGTAACTAGGAGATGTATTCCGGACCATGAGATTGACTCGGTCTTGTAGTTTTGTCATTCTTCTACACCTGGTGGTCATCTTGGCATTTAGAGGATAGCTTGTAAGGTGCTTGATTGTGGTTTCTACTAGCCCACCATCTTTAAGGATGCATGGAAGATTTGCAGCACCTGTGGGCAGTGTCAGAGAGCAGGAGAATCCCTTTCTTGGAGATAGTAGATGCCTCAGCAACCCATGTTATTATGTGAGGTCTTTGATGTCGGGGTATAGATTTCATGGTCCTTTTCCTATTTCTTTTGGTTTTTCATATATTCTCCTAGTTGTTGATTATGTTTCAAAATGGGTGGAAGTCAAAGCCACCAAAACTAATGATGCTCGAGTTGTTGTGGATTTTGTTAGATCTAACATATTTTTTAGGTTTAGAGTACCTAGAGCTATTGTTAGTGATCAAGGCACCCATTTTTGTAATAGATCCATGCAGGCCTTGCTCAGGAAGTATGGGGTTGTTCATAGAATCTCTACACCCTACCACCCTCAAACTAATAGGCAAGTTGAGATTTCAAATAGGGAGATCAAGAGAATCTTGGAGAAGATTGTGCAACCCAACAGGAAAGATTGGAGTAGCAGGCTGGAGGATGCTCTTTGGGCGCATAGGACTGCTTACAAAGCACCCATAGGGATGTCTCCTTATCGGGTTGTCTTTGGCAAAGCATGTCATCTTCCTGCAGAGATAGAGCACCAAACATATTGGGTTGTGAAGACCTGCAACTTCTCGATTGATTAGGTTGGAGAGGAAAGAAAGTTGCAACTAAGTGAGCTTGATGAGATCCGCATGGAAGCCTATGAGAACTCTAAGTACTACAAGGAGAAAACCAAGAAGTTCCATGAGAACTTGATAGCTAGGAAGGACTTCACGGTTGGGCAGAAAGTTTTATTATATAATTCAAGGCTTGGTCTCATGGGTGGTAAGTTACGTTCTAAGTGGATTGGACCTTTTGTTGTTACTAATATTTTTCCTTATGTTAAAGTTGAGATCAAAAGTTAATCCACAGACAAGAGCTTCAAAGTTAATGGGCACCGTCTAAAGCCTTTCCTCAGTAATCCTTCCCTATTGAATGCAGTTTCAGAGGAGATGTCTCTGCTCGACCCTGCTTCTCTCCCACCATGACTTAGGGAGTTTTTTTTCTCTTTCTCCTTCTTTACTTTTATTGCACATGCCCAATTCTGTTGATTGTTCTAATTGCTCTAATCTTATGTGTATGCCACATTGGGACAATGTGTGGTTTAAGTGTGGGGGGAGATTGTTTTGGTTATGTTTTTAGGGTTTATTTGTTACGCTTGGTTTAGGTTTTATGTATAGTTTTGCATGTTTCTCTTTGATTTATGGGTTTTGATAGTTTGTAGGCACTTACTTCACTCTTGGATATGAGTTACTTGATATTCTGTGGATTGAAATCCTTGTCTTTCTCTGCTTGACAAGTTGATTATGAGGTTTGAGAGGTTGATTTGAATGTGACAGATTTACCATATATGAGGTTTTGAGCCACTCTTTGTTCTTTCTTGTGTGGTTTTCCTCTTGATTGCTTGCACAATATCCTTGGCTTGACTCTGTTTGATATTTCTTGGTTCACATGCATGTTTAGAAAGGATTAAGGAATTTTGATTCTAATAAGCCTCTAGCCAAATAATCCTACCTTGAATTAATTCCTTTGATAGACCCTGTTGAGCCTGTTTCCCTTTCTTTTTTCGAAGTTCATTACAAGACTTAAGTGAAAAACCATGATTCCCTTAACCTTAGGAAGTTTTGGAGCTTCAGAATTGTTTTGGGAATAAGTTCTTGAATAAGTGTGGGGGTATGGGTATGTTTCATTGGATTATGTATATTGGCTGGTTGGTTCCTTATGTCGGTATTGTGGAAATACTTGATAATGCTGGAAATTGCGGACAAATCAATTGAACAAAATCATTGACGCTGTGGCCATGGATCGATTTTTGGAAACCTTAATTAGAAAGCTTTGTTTGTATTACAGCACTACTAAGGGTTGTTTATTTGTGTACAGGTAGAGGGAAAAACTGTGAAAGCACAGATCTGGGACACAGCGGGTCAGGAGCGGTACCGTGCCATTACAAGTGCTTATTATAGAGGTGCTGTTGGTGCTTTACTTGTATATGACATAATAAAGAGGCAAACCTTTGATAATGTCCAAAGGTGGCTGCGTGAACTGAGGCACAAATGCAGGCACAAGCAAAAATACAAGCACTTTTGCAATAACAAATGTAGGAACAAATGTAGGCACAAATGCAATTTTTGAGGAAAGAGATATTACGTGCCTTAAAGATACCATCACCATCATCAGTCAAAAAACTTGGGAAGAATCAAGAATGAAAATGTTGAATTCTAGTTTTTATTTATTTATTTACATTAACATTGTTAACTCACTTGAAGAGTTTTATTATATTAGTTGGTATTGAGTATTTTTATTATGTTAGTTGGTTCTGAATATTTTTATTATGTTGGTAATTTAGAATTGTTTTAGTTAGCCTTTAGTATTTTTATTTTATTTGATGCAAGTTGATGACACAATATATTTGATATGCAAATACAGGTACTACAATCTTGATATCACAACTAAACAATTATAATAGTCAGTATGAAAAATGCAGGTAAAGATGAATATATGAATATTAAAAATAAAATTGCGACAAAATA